GAAATCTATCATTCGTTCTCCAGCATCATTTCTATCACCAAGTCCAAATTTTCCAACTACTGGTCCCTCCTCTTTGCTCCCTACTTTTGCATTCCAGGGCACACATAGACTATCAAAAATTGCACAAACAAAGGAAGACAAAATAGATGATTGGGACTTTCTAAAAATTAGAAACTTATGTGATTCAAAAGATTTCATCAAAAGAGTAAAAAGGGAGCCCAACAAATGGGAAAAATTTTTTTGCAACAACATATCACAGAAGAGACTAATCTCTAAAATCTATAGGAAATTAAAACACCTCTACAAGAAAAAGGCAAAAAAACCAATTAATAATTTGTTGTTGTTAAGTCAAGTCGATTCCAACCCATAGTGACTCTGTATAGGGTTTCCAAGGGGCAGCTGATGAACCTGAACCACCGACCTTGCAAATTAAAAAACTGGTACAGGAAATGAACAGACACGTCACCCAGGAAGACATTCAGGCAATCAACAAACATATGAAGAAATGTTCACAATCATTAACCATTGTTGTTGTTGTTGTTAACTGCCATTAAGTGGATTCTGACCCATAGCAACCCTGTATAGGGTTTCCGAGGAGCAGCCGGTGAGCTTGAACCACTGACCTTGCATTTCAAACGGCTTTGCTGTCTGACGCATTAACCCACAGTGCAACATCATTAACCATTGTTGTTGTTGTTAAGTGCCGTCGAATGGGTTCCGACCTACAGTGACCCAGTATAGGGTTTCCAAGGAGCAGCTGGTGAGCATGAACTGCCAACCTTACAGTTCAAACAGCTTTGCTGTTTGGCACATTAACACACAGCACCACACCAGGACTTCATTATTAGAGAGATGCAAATCAAATTATCTGACTCAATAACTCTCAACTGATACACATATGAAATTATCTTTAAAATTTTGTAGAAATAAATGTAGTTTGACATTTCTGCCAAACTAACAGAATGAAGTTTTCTGTAGTGATTCAGATACTCCTGATGCTCAAATCTGCATAAAAACCACTAAATGAATTCTCAAATCTGCATAAAAACCACTAACTAAATCCTAACTTATCTTACAGATAGGACTCCTGGTTTGGCACTGTAGAATCAGCAATGGACTGCAAACTGCAAGGTCGGCTCTTCAAACCCACTACCTGCTCCTCAGAAACCCTACACATGACAACTATAAGTTGGAACTGACTTGATGGCTCTTAATAACTTCTTACAGATGGAAAACCTGAGCTCCAGATAAGTCAAATGAATTACTGTTTGCAAACCTAACACCAAAACACATACCATTTTTTTTAATACGGTCTAGATACTACCCAAACAACATCACAACAGCTGGACAGCTATATACACTGGCATTGTTGTTATAGACTGGAATTGTTTTTAGATGACATTGAGTCTTTTCCAACTAATAATGATCATAAGTACAAGAGAACAAACTACTGCCCAGTATTGTACTATCCTCACAATCACTGCTATGTTTGAGTCCACTGCTGCAGCTTCTGTCATTTCATTTCAGTAGAAACACTATACAAATGTAAATGCAGTCCTGCTATCTATCCCCAATTTATAGATAAGGAAACTGACGTGCCAAAAGTAATAATGCAAAGGGAGAACACACAAGATGGTGGATTGGGTAGAAGTGCGATGAGGAGCTCAGTTAGCAACAACACAGAATACCAGATCAAGCAGACTCAGGGGATGGTCCCAGAACTCTGAACTACATATAGAGGAATATTTAGAAAGGTGGAAGGCTTATAGACAGTGGAATTTGTAGCAGAAGCAAGAAATCCAGTGCTTTCTAATCAAAGGTGCTTAGCTCCTCCTTGAGTGGTGATCTTAGGCGAGACTGAGCGGCAGAAAG